ACTCCTACCAGTGGAGAATTTCCCATTAAGTTCCAGTTTTGCTCGGGCTCCTCAATGTTACACTCAATAAAATGCAGCCTTGATACCACAGACAGTCACTGTTACCTCACCTCTGAAATCGAGCTCTTGCGTCCATGTTTGGACCAAGGCTGTAATGAGGCCACACAGGGAGGTCAGACCCACTGGACCTTTCCACCTCTCATCCAAATAACATGCACAGGCATGTTCAGTCCTTTAGAGGGCAGCAGTGTTACAGGAATTGGCAGCGCTCTGAATTACCAGCTCAAAACAGAGGTGAAATCTTACCAAATAGATCAGCTTGCTACCTTCACACTTTGGAGCCATGTGATGTTTTGGAAATCAAGTGTTAAACTGATCAAAGTGCTTAAAATCTTAAAAAGATTCCATACCTTAGAGACAGAGAAACCATTTCCTCCAACGGGGGGGCCAGGAGCAAGGAGACATGACTTCAAAGTTAGAGCTAGGTTGTTCAGGAGTGAAATCTGAAAGCACATATGAATCTTGAATGCTTTCCTTCAAAAGTGAAAAAAGAAAATTTACATGGCCATGTGGAGAGAGTGAGAAACCAGCTAAGTTTTTCTTGCAAAGAACTGCCTTGCACATGATGGGATGAATTTTCTGTTGTAATGTTTCCACTTTTCTGGGATTCCAGGAAAAGGCATAGTATTTGAGGTTCAGCACTAAAATCAATAAATTTTTGTTAGCTAGGGTGGAAGGTTCCATGGTGTGGTGGTTGGTGTCCCTGCTCTCTGGAACAGAGGTTCCAGGTTCAAGTCCTACTGCAGAACTTGACAGCCCTAGAAAGGGTGGCCCAACAGGGTCAGTGTCAGCTTGTAACCCCTTTCAATGCACCTGATGGTAGGTGCTAAGAGCAATAGAGTTTCTTGGTCACCCATACTGCAGAAGGCAGTGGCAAAAGGCATCCGGTACTTTGCTAATGAACCAAACACCGCTTAGGATACAAAACCTGAAAGGGTACAGAGTAGCTCTGAAAAGAAAGGTGGGTGCTAACTAGTGTGGACCTTTCTACTAGAGTAAGAACTGGTTCAGTCATCCGTTGGCCATTAGCTGGCTAAGTAGGGAGCTTTTTAATGACAATAATTCTTTCATATATTGCTGGTGTGTAGAAAAATAATGTTCATTGTTTAATTAGAGATAGTAGGAACTGCAGATGCTGGAGA